AACATCATCGACTGACAAACATTATTCACTTGACTCTGAAGATGACTTCCGCTCAGGTTGTCGAAACGTCAGTCACCAACAACAGTTCTTTTTAGAACTGCACTCACCCGGACGATCACACTATACGAACTACTGATACTCCTGGGTTCAAACCATTTACTGTGAAAAACACGTTTCTTTGAAGAAAATGACTCGGAAAGAAACTCGAGCAGTCTCGTCGAGCAAGACTCTGAAACGAAACACATCAATGACACACTCGGCTATCGCCTCGTGTGCCACTTTTTTGTCTTACCCGATACCACATTTTGACGCCATCTGTGATCTGTTACTGAACAGACGTACGGCAACATGGAATCTATATGTTAAATATTTCTATTCAGGGGTTACGGTTTTGCGAGTTCCATAATTTGGTAGATGACTTTAAACTAATGCGTGACGTTTACTCCCAACAAGATCAGCTTTTTGTCACCACATACTCGACTGATTCAATGCTGTCATTCACGAAAGTTGTAGCTATTAACACGACGGACACATGTTGTAACACATATTCAATTTCCCTAAAAAAAGAGACACGTTACCTTTACTAATTACCTTTAGATGGCGTTACATACGTTACTGCCTTGGTTTTTGCGGCCTTTAAGCGCTATAGAAATGGGGCCGTGTTCACAGGGGTACCAGCTTATAAACGCTAAAAGTCCTAGTACTCTACGTACTATGCCGAGTAACCAAAGGTCGTTCCATTCCATTATTTCTCAAGAATACCTTCCACTACCATGCTGACCTTTGGAGCAGCAAGAACGACTACAACCGTCCAGGAGGCAAGACTGGTTTTGACTCACAAGAAACCAAGTTACCGACCTACTGGAACACATCCTTTACAAAGATCTGTCTTGGTATGAAGATCGGTCACCAGATCAGCTTCATCGTGATCAATAAGCACGCCACCTCTTTGTACTCACTGATCGCTGACGGTCAATACCGTGCCACCTCAGTGGGCCGTAACACGTGGAAGACGCTGATTGGCTCACAGGCTTCCTTGCAGTACAACTGTAACAAGGAAGGGTTCAATGCTGTGGGTACTTCTAGTTCCCATTCGAAGGCAAGAATCGGTATCATTAGTAACAACGGAAACGACTGCATCAGCTGTGATTCCAGAATCGGGTTTGGTACAGGAGGACATCCTGATCACTCCAACACGTGTGGAAACGAGGCAGGACATGCATCAGATAATGGAGACAAAAAAATTAAAGCCATGGGTTACATATTGGTGCAGTGAAAGCTAGAACTGCCACTTATCTACACCAGTGTAGACATGATAGAAAGTAACGATCTTTGTCAGTGATAGAAGGTTCGCACGTCTGGCCTGTAGTATCATAATTATTGCTCATGTAGAAATGAGATGATAATAAACGCATTTATTATAGCACCATACCTCACTAATTGTCCGTGGCGCTTTACGATACCATAACTCTTAATTTATTTTGAAAGCTTCATTACTTAATACACAGGCTAATAATAAAAAATTATAAATCAGGAGAATTCGTAAACAGATATGTCTTAAGCTTAGTTTTAACTACAGTAACTGACGATGATAGTCTGATGTCCAATGTTAACTTATTCCACAATTTTGAAGCAATGGAGTATGCCCTATCACCATAGGTTTTTCAATTAGCCACGGGCTCATCAAGCAAAGCTCAGTTTACTTGAGATACTTGGTTTACCAGATCTATATTAGAAAGGAATCATGGTGATTACCATCTTTCCCTTCTCTCATTCGTGGAGGAATGGGCCATCAATCCTTCTGCTCCAAGCAACTCGATCTTTGCCGCCACTTCTGTAACCCTCCGTGTCTTCGTGATCCGAGATTTTCTCTCTCCTTGTTGATCGTTCTTCGCCACGTCTCTCTTGGCCTTCCTCTTCAGCGAATGAGATTTCGATAAGCATTTATCTCTCAGTTTTTTCTCTCTTTAGTTATCGCACCGTCCTCTATTCTTTCCTTTGCTCTCGTTATTCCCTTCCGGAATAGATTGATATGGAGGCATTGGTGGAAAAATATCACTGGCACGTGACTTGTGTGCCTTTTCAAACGAACCCCAACCCCTCTGTACCAAACTATTCAAAGCGTCTACTGTGTGATCACAGCTTATAACTCTCTGCAGTAAAGTTATTTCTCCATTTTACAAGATTAAAACCATTGTTATGTTTTCAAATCGTTCACTGAAAAATAAAAATAAATAAATAACTTTATTTAAGTATCGAATGTATTTAGCATTGTTATGCTAATTGGGGCACTGTAAATAAACAACCAAATATTACAAATATTATTGTTCAAATAGCTTTGCAAAAATATATATTTATTTTCTCTGCCACTATTGCACAAGATTAAATATAGGGAATTTTAAAATGATGTCGAGAATTTAATTTCATTTTTTTTCCTCAAACTTTCATCTATCAATTTGGAAGATATTTGTTTACAAACATTGTTTTTGTTATTTAAAGTTTTAAAGCGTTAAACAAAAGAATTCTCTGTTTCACCAGCCTCTAGTTCTCTGGTTGGCATATTAATTACAATAGGTGACGTCACTGACATTTTTGATGTACCTGTGAGAAAACAAAATAAACTCGAAGTGTCCGGCTTTTAACGGACCGAGTTTAATAACAGTTTTTCAAACTTTTTTTGAAGCGTTCGTTTATAGTCCGAATAAGAATATTTTAGTAACTGACGGTTAATCGCCTTTAAAGTGACCTTCTTTGATTAATTTTCTTAGCTTTCAATTCCTTATTATGATTTAAACTTAGTTTGTTTATTTCTGCTAGCTCCCACTTCAGTCAGATGAATTTTCTAGAATAACAATATATACTGTCAAGAGCTGAAGTAAAGGAAAAACAATTCCAGGCTCAGTCATTGAATATTAAATTATTTATTTCGAAACAGGTAATTGGAACGAAGAACGAAATCAAATTTCGATTAGTCAATTTACAACCACGTTATAGCTTCATATTGACTACAAAAAGGCTTTTTAATTTCAGTTTTTACTGTAGAAAGCCAGCAAGCATAAACTCACGGGGAAACTTATCAAAATCAACTTTCGAAAGGCAGTTTTGCTGCATGTGTATGTTTAAAACACAATTTCGGGGACTCTCGCTACACACATCTCGATTATCATGGATGGATTTGTTCTGATGTCATTTAGTGCTTTGGTTTACTTTCTGTGCCATATTTTGGATCAGTGCGGTTGTGACACCACTGGTAGTTTTTATCGTGATCCAAACAAAACGCTGACCTACGCGGTATTCAAAGATCATTCATTTCACGATCTTGATGTTCCTAAAGTTGACGCGGCCATTGTTGGAACTGAGAGAAAATGCTTACTCAGATGTGTAAAAAATTATCGATGTTTCTCCGCCAACATTGCGGCATTTCCACGACCAGATGGAAACCTGTTGTGCGTGTTACTATCTGCAGACAAATACAGCGCATCAGAAAAGTTCAGAACCAACCACTCTTTCCATCACTACAGTATTGTGGTAAGTAGTACACTACCGTTTTTATTAACGTTCAGATAATAGTCTAGTTCGACACGGGCCAAAGAAAATCTAACCGTTGACCATGAGCGAAAGGTGATAGACCCTGCGTGCTGAATAACACCCACTCCAGCCCCGGCGTCTCATAAGCGATGTCCAATGGGCTATGTAAACGTAATACAGACCCTCCGGTCGTGAGAACGAATTTTGAAGGTAGTTAAACTTGTACATTCCTGTGCATTATCCTTGAGTCCAAGTTCATTCCTTTTGTTAATTTCTACATGGTAAGCTATTTATAGCTATAGGCTGCATGAAAGTCATCGTTATTGAACCTATGTCACTTGACAGACACCCTAAATTAACTGCAGTCCTTTGCAGCCGGGGGAGTTCATTATAATTTAATTATCAGTAAAGAAAATTGATGGGTGTGGGGCCTGTTTCAATTTATCTTTGCTTAAAGAATGAATCGCTTATGTATTAAGATATTACCTCCAATTAAATTGTGTGGAAATCAAACTCTGTAGCCTTTATTTACTAGCAAGAGATAAAGAGGGAGTTTACCAAAGGTATTTCGTTCTCGAAGAGTTTGCTTCTCAGTAGATTAGCAACGAAAACGTTCTTAATTCACTCTGCAATGGCAAGACGGTGATGAATAGCGACAAGTAGACCAATTTAAAATGATTACGTTGGGAAGTGGTATCTCATACTAATTAAAAACGATATCTATTTCCCAGATTTCTCCTCCAAGACGACATTTTTTTCAGGTAAATTTATTTTGACTTTCCATATTTCAATTTCCAGCTGTGAGAGTTTTCCTTTTCAGAATGGCGGAACCTGTGTGCCGCTGTACGAGACAGTAAGTACAGTTGCATCTGTAGACGATTCTGGATGAGCAAAAATTGCGGTGAACTGAATAATTTTCTGAGTAAGATTATATTTCACTACCATCTTCAAGTTATTTGTTCTCTCACTTTAACGTTGGCTTTCATAGGTAGCCCTTGTAGCTAATTCATTAAACCGCTTAGTTGTTCTGTTTCCCAGGGTTAAGTCAACAGTCGTTAGTGATGGGGTGGTCCACCTCTTAAGGCATCAGGTTCATAGCAACATGAAAGTTTGGGGGACAAATAATGCTCCTTTAGTGATATATTTTGATGGGTCGGACTTATGCAAATTAGATCACGGGACTTCAGCACAAAAAAGGGGGG